CAGCGAGACGATGCTGGACTGTTCGATTGTTAGGAATACTCACATGCTTGACTTGTTGGTTGTTGAGCGGAAGTGGTTCTAAGTTCGGAACATGTCGACGGGGCTGGAGAGCTGGGTACTGGACTTCCGTGCGTGCAGGAGGCGAACGATGATTACGGAGGCGATTACCGGGCTGATTATTGATCGTAGCCTTCCGACGGATATTGATGAACTCCACTCGCTTGGGACATCCGCGATTGGAGGCTTGGTGGTTACCACCGCAGTTGACACACGTTGGCTCGATGTCATCATCTTGCTCACAGGACGCAGTCGAGTGAGTTCCAGCACACTTGCCGCAGATAGTCTTCATATGGCAGTTTTTGGTGTCATGGCCGTAGGAGAGGCAGTTCATACACTGCGTAACATCACGATGTTGGGATTTGTAATGTTCCCAACTGATGATGACCTGAAACAGGTCCCGGATTTTGGATCTCAGAGCCGCTAGACTGGTGGATCCCTTCGTGAAGTGCACCAGGAACAACTGGTCACGGAAGCTGGTGTTGTGGTTGGAACGCCGGTTTATTGGGAACACCGCCTCAGGTTTGAGCCCAAGCCGCTCCAGCTCGGACTTAAACACAGCCGCCTCGAACGACGGTAATCCACGCAATACCAGCTTCAGTGGCTTGCTCGATGGCAGATCGTGCGTGAAGAAGTCAACGTTGTTTTCCTTTAGGAAACATCCTGTTTGATTGTACTCCTCCAGGCTGGAGCACATGATTTTGGTGCCGATGCTGCAAAGCTTGAAGCGAGGCAGCAGCTTGTGTTTTGCCAGTTCGGCACGCAGCTTGGCAACATCCTTCTCCGGCGTGAAAAGCGGGGGAATCCGCTCTCTTGCAGCGATGGGAACGGCGTCACCATCGCCATTTTCTTCGGGGAGCACCGCAAACTGGTTGGCTTGCAGTACCCGTTTTCCGGCGTCATCCTGCGACGCGCTGTGCTGGATTACCACCTTCTTTGAAGGGCCCGCTGCTGAATCATTGGTACGTTTACGCACCATTTGTTTCGTGTTGGCAAGTTGTAGTAAACTTGCCAGAACGCGCGAAGGTGGCGACGCTTCCACGGCGCAACGCGACAGCACAAACCGAATCGAAGCGAGAACTCGAGCGAAAAAGAAAACGAACTGAACAGCTCAACAGTCGAGCAAAGAGTGAGCCTATTTGGGTCATGGTGTTGTCTTCCCTATTTATTTGTCTCTATTCTCATATCGCAACGTTTAACACACCCCCTTCCCTCACACTATTATGGTCGGAAAAGAGAACCCATATTTAGAAATCTATCGCGAACTGCGATGCAGAAGATATTAATAGCAAACTAATCTGGAACTGGTCTAAGACATATAACCCAGTGAGTATTGACACATCACACTGTTGTGAATGAGCACGGACGCGAGATTTACTAGAGTATTAAATACAAAACGCAAATTCAAAATAAAACTTGACAAGACATCGTCAATCCCCTTATTCTTGGGCAGGGTCTGACGATGTGAATCTGATTTTGATCAGTGAACGGGCCCCATATGGTACATTTTCTCACCATGAACCTGTCATTTCCAGCCTATCTGAACTATTTAATAAATGGAAACCATAACATGGGTTACGCTTCCCCTAAGCGGGCCCTCCGCATCCTATCTCTGTCTTCCCAACAAACAATTCACAGTCACAAATAAGCATACACATTGAATAAATGCTGTATAACAGTGTACAATGCTGAATAAAACAAGATGTCGAATTATGTGCTGAAAAAAGCTCATTGAGATCGATAGATGCGCCTTTATTCCTCCGTTTGCTCTGATATGATTAATTTACTTATTAAAAGCTTTATAAACGTTGACTGTCTTCCTGATTCAGAACCAGAAGATTGATCTAATAACAAACTGAATAAGTGTAATTTTCACATACATTGTCGCTTTAATTCGACTGTTTTCAATTGCTTTAATAAAATGCTTTATTAGACGTCTTATAAATGTTTTCTAGCTCCATTATTAGATTTCATTGCATTGCTTTACAATATTGCTGTATAAAGGTGAAAACAGTCAGCAAAATAGCTCTTATACCACTATGCGTCCATGTTTTAGTTAAATGCTTTGTAAATGCTTTATAAACGACGTATTAGATTCATTATTCCACATCACTGCCCAAAAACAATTCGGAGTTACAAATAAGCATATAGATTGAATAAATGCTTTATAACAGTGTACAATGCTGAATAAAACGGGTTGTCAAATTATGTGCTCAGAAAACCTCATTGAGATCGATTATGCGCCTTTATTTCGCTGATTGCTCTGATTTGATTAATATACTTATTAAAATCTATACAAACGATGACTGTCTTCCTGATTCAACACCAGAAGTTTGATCTAATAACATACTGAATAAGTGTAATTTGCACATACATTGACGCTTTAATCCGACTGTTTCAATTGATTTAATAACATGCTTTATTATACGTCTAATAATTGTTTTCTAGCTCCATTACTAGATTCCATTGCATTGCTTAACAATATTGCTGAATAAAGGTGAATACAGTCAGCATAATAGCTCTTATTCCACTATGCGTCCATGTTTTAATTGCATGCTTTATAAATGCTTTACAAACGGCGTATTTATTCATTATTCCACAACAGTGATTCAGGCTAACAACAAAACGAAATTGGTAGCATAGTGGTTACCGTTTCCGCTTTCCAAGTAGAAGGTCGCGAGTTCAATCCCGGCCTCAACCATTTTTTTATTTATGTTCTACTCCTAATTACTTTAAATCGTAATCATAAATCGTATCACTCACGACAACCAATTCATAGATCTATTGAAAAGAATAGCATCCTTTCCATCGAAATTAGATAGATGGAGAGGTAACGTTGGTCTAATGTTAAACAACTTTGAATGAATTAATCATTCTCACATCTCCTTGAATTAGCTAGAGCTACGGCTGGAAGTGCTGATAGGTTTTCAGATTCAAGCTTTTATTGCTTATTTAGCTGCTCAAATGATGTATTCTAGGATAGCTCAGATGGCAAGGCAAGCGGCTAGTGATCGGAAGGTCATGGTTCGAATCCCATTTAACGACATGTGTGTGTATGTATGTATGTATGTAATAAATTCGACAGAAATAATGACACAACAATCACTAACGAACACAACCCTGCTCGTGCCGTTCTTATTTTCGGATTAATTATCCCGTAGTTGAATAATCGTTTAATAAATGTATAATAATGTAATAATTAAACATTATTTCACATGACAATCAAGCGTCTATATACACCTTTATACCATCGCTGTTTAAGGAAGTACAGATGGTCTAATAAACGCTGAATAATCAATAATTTGATCGAATAAGCTCTGTTATAATTTTTGTAAGTCGAATAAAAGCTTCTCGACATACCTTATTCAACACCAAATATTTCGATGTTGTGTTTGAATAAATTCTCCAGATTTGTGTGAACAAAGCCTGAACAGAAGTTATTATTAAAAATAGTACAAGTATTATTAAGCATGAAGTGGAATAAAATCGTCAAGAAGTCGTTTCTGCAATAGGCAATTGTTTGTTGGGTTATCTCAAATGCCAATGGTTTGAATGTATCAATATATACATTGGAAATGACGTTCAATCAAATAAACCCATACCCCACTCACTTGGCCAGGCTTCAGAATCGTCCAGTGGGCAGTGCGCTCTACACTCCAAGTTCCCTTTCTTTCAAATTCACCCCAAATTTGATATTTTACCCCTTTGAGTGTTGATTAATCACAATGAAACATTGTGACAGAGCACGGACTTGAGGTTACTAGAGTATTAAATAATCTAGGTCCTATTTAGGATTATATCTGAAAAATCCAAATCTGGCCAACGCCCACCAACGTTTGAGCGGTGCCGTGTTTACTAAAAATGAACACATGACGTAATGCTCGCGTAACTTTAGAAAAGGGCTTATCAATTTTTATAAACCACTTCTTAGGCCCTTGTCACGCGAACCGACAAAATGATTGGACACTCAGAGACAAAATGATTGGAACCAAAAAAATGAGGTTAGGGACCGTGCACCTCTCGCATAGATTCCATAGATAAGCGGAGGCAAAGTAGAATGTAACCAAACGAACTGTCAGTTAGTGTAGCCAAACGAGCATGACGTCATCATGGTGTTTTTTGCGTGGGAAGTAGAAAACACCTTCCACACTCCATTTTCCGATTTATTTAGCGTAAAACGGAAGAAGGAAATAGCTAGTAAGCCCGTTTGCTTTTCATGGTCGCAAAAAAAAACTTTTTGTACCGCCGCTTATTTATGGAATCTATAGTATTTATAATCCACAGTTGTATCTGGTAAAATATCGGTACACGGCGAATGAGAACAACCCAAATTTAAGTTTAGTTCACTCATAATCGCCAAAAGTGCAGGAACTCAGCGATGAGTAAAGTTTGTCTCATGGTTTCCTGTGGAAAACCTAAAAAATCTGCCGGAAAATGAGGAAATTGACGAAAATTACATGCAGTCTCGGAGTAGTACCAATAGACTGAGTGAATCCAACCTTTACTTTTCTCAAATTCGGGATTTTTTCCCTGGAAAATCCTTAGAAAACATGAGGCAAATTAACTCATCGCTGAGTTCCTGCACTTTTGGCGATTATGAGTGAACTAAACTCAAATTTGGGTCGTTCTCATTCGCCGTGTAGACCTACTTGCAGGGTCTGACTTCGACTCTCGGAATAATCCCCCATGGGTCGATAGGTAGGGTCCACGTGTAGGAACTACCTCCATTGGAAAACAAGATCGATGAAGAACAAATCAAGGAAAAAAAGTGCTTTCGTCAATACTACACTACTTTCAAGGTTCTCTGAGTTCTTCTCTGCACTTTGGTGGAATCGCATAAGTTTTAAAAGCCACCATATACCTTCAATGTTACCCTTCGGATGAGTTGCAATGGTACCAGTGGATCGTTCGGATAATTCAAAACAGACTAGATTATTTCTAAAAGCTCATTATTCTTCAGGCATACTACAATATACGATTTAGGCACTTAGTACGATATGGATTAGTACATAATTTAACAGTTTGTCAATTATTGCTTGTTCGAATTCCGATCAAAACATATTTAGTTCTCATGAATAAACGAGTAAGTATCAATATAGGCACCGAGTCCCCGCACCACCCCGATCACAATCTGCAGCTGTGCATTGCCAAGATAAACCATCCGCTTATCATCGTAGATGGTAAGCACTTCCTCCCGGTCGAACCTCTTCAACTCGATGTACCGATTGAACTTCACGATTTCCGTACCAATCCGAAGCATCGGGTACATGTCCATATGGAGTGCAGCATTTTCGATCGTTCCAAAGCGAAGCAGTGCCTTCGAAGCTAGACCTTTGATCATCACTATCAACCGCAAAGGGTCAGCAGTCATCGAATCGTCGTCCATCTGGCAATAGCCACCCAGAGAATGTTGTTCGGCTTTCATCGTCAATTGCTTGAAGCGGGACCGCAGCGAAGCGTGATCCGAGAAAAGAACTTCGTTAGCAGCAGACTCCTCGAGGCCCATCTCCGATGTCAAATTTTCCATGCTTTTCAAGGCGAAAAGAACATGATAGGTGAATCGTGCAAAATCTGGACACTCCATTGTCGAAGCATACGAGATAACGTTTTCTATTGTCGTGGGTGAATAGGATTGGAACGCCATTTCCAGGGTGCAGAGCTTTTCAAATGCCCTGTCGAATTGGTTCGAACTATGGCACGTATTCTTCCAAATAGCGTCGATAAATTCACGATGATTGTCCTGAGCAGTTTGACAGATTCGAAACAATTTCGGATCTACTAGGTAATTTGGGTAGGCTGATTGGTTAAAATGTTCGAGGCCTACTCGGACCATTGATTCAATCTCGACGATCTGCCCTGCCGATTGTAAGCCCGTGATGCGGAGTGACTTTTCCGTACAATTTTCGAAAACTGCTAGCAAGAAACGAATTTTGACCAGCATTTCCGAGCTGTCGATCGACGATTGAGTTATGAAATCAAAAATTTCAGCATCCTCGCTGCCCCACTGCACGCGTAGGCTGTTCATGCGGTTGATTTCCCGGGGGTTCATTTCCAAAAGAGCTCGTAGAAGGGAAATACCATTTCCCCTTACGAACGTTCTATAGGCCGATGCCACAGTAAAGCGGTGACCGCCTCCGATAGTCAACTGGGCATCGGTTAAAATGGTAAAATCGTTACAAATTTGGCGTATCAACATAAACACTTCGATCAACTCGTTGATAGCCTTGCCATAGTCGGTCCGTTTGCCTCCCGCTTCTTCAGCCCGCTTGAATACGGCACTCGCAATCGGTCCATCGCCGTAGAGCGTTCTCAACAGAGCAAATCCATCGCGGAAAGTCTTGGCAATGCCCTGAATCATGTACAAGAATTTGCCCAATTCCGTTTCCGTCATACTGATGATGTTCTTCATCTTGTACTCGAACCCAAACAGGCGAATCGTCCAAAAGTCGTCACTTACGGTCACATCAAACGAATCACGAACAATCGTTCGGATTAGGTTCATTCCCCTCGACACGTATTCGTCGTTGTTATCGAACATTCCCTTGACGTTGGTAATGAAGCCTTGGCCAACGGTGCTCGCACCTCCGACCACCGAGTCCGAACAACCCTTGAAGAACTTACATATTCCATCGATCTGGCTACTGCGCATCAGACGCTCCGCATTGGCAAAGCTGATGACCTCCCGGAAGCAGAAGCACACGGCACAAGCCACCGATATCTTCTGGTAGATGGTCATCTGGTGCCAGTTGTTGACCATGTAGGCAACCGAATCGACGATCGTTACGGCATTGACACCGGCACTGACTCCCCGGATGATCCGATTGGCCAACATGAATCGACTTACCTGCGCGGCGGTTAAACCTTCCAGCTTTGTGGCCAGTCCGGCGACACCCAGGGAGGCGAACGTCAGCAGATTGGCCGACATCATGAGCCAATTGTTGCGCGCTTCGGCATCCTGTGGAGAATTGATCGTGTATTTAGGGGCGATCGAGTAGAGGGAAAATTACCCCCCCCCCCCCTTTCGTTACGTTTTTCCTATACCAAATGCATTGCTTGTCACACATACATATAATACATGAATACATGCATTAGAGTGTTTCAAAATAGGAAAAATCCTGGAATTTCAAACGCTATGGTAGTATGGGGGGTCAGAAATATCCTGCCAAAATTTGAAGTCATTTGGTCACGGGAACCCCTCGCTCAAAAGGCTTGAAGTTTGTATGGGAAAAATCAAATTTCTTCGTGTACAAAATGTAGAACTTCTGGAGTGCTGGGAACATCTTGGCTGAAGACTGGAAGAGAATCCGAGTGAACCCCGAAAAGTAATTAGCGTTTCCAACACTACCTGTCTTACTTTTGGGGAGGGCATAAAGCGCTTAGTGCACGAACAGGAAAACGAATAGCTACTGAAAATTGTAATAGATTGGGTTCCGGTTTTATTCCGCGGGTTCCTGAGAAGCCATCGGGGGTGGGATCAAAAGCTACCAGTCGTCTAGAAGAAGGTGATGCTGGAAATTCACAGCAACAGGCATCTATGGGTGGTGCTGATTAATATTTGAACAAAACCAACCCACAACCTGGTTTTAAATACTGAATGTCCACTGGAAAGCTATCCGGTGACCCGGATCAACCTTAATCTTGATTATTATGTATTTTTGATCAAAGTAGGCCTTGATTATACACTGCAACTTTATGAAATGAAGTAAAATTGTGATTTTTAATATATTTTCTGGTCATTGGCTACGAGTGGTCACAAGGACGGCCCACCGGAAGTTCCAGAACATAAGTAAAATTGATTGCTACGTAAATTTCATCAAAGTAGGCCATGAATTTTCTTTGCAACTATACTGCCCTTAAAAGCAGAATGTAAAGAATATTAAAAAATTGTTATATAAATGTTGGTAATTGGTCCTGAGTGGTCATCAAATAACCCGCCGGAAGGCCTGGAAGATCCGTAAAATTAATTGCTTTTTAAATTTGATCAAAGTAAGCATTGCTATATTTACAGCGGCCTCCTAACCCAATCAGTAAAGGCACGGTCTAGCCAAGCTGGAGGCAGTTGGTCCGATTCCCAGTCTGGTTGAGGAAATATTTCGGACTTTCCTGGGAATATAGTATTATTGTAGTAACCTCTGCATCTATAACAATAAGTTGAGAGCCGTTCCGATGTCACTTTCTTTCACAATCAGCCACGCATGTATGCATCACCGTTATCAAATGGATATTGGCATTACGTACACACCTCCAGGTTCGAAAATATTCTTTCCAAACGTGGCACGCATTTAGTTAAATTTTGATATTAAATTGGTAAGGAATAATTGGACAGCTCTCACCACCGCCGTAGATTGCTTATTTTGGAAATCCCTTGGCGTGATCATAGATTTTATGCCTCAGGAAAATCCCGGCGGCGCCGAATGGGCTAAAGAAGGTGGACTTGGACTGTGTTTTTTCGTATATTGGAACCTCAAGCAGAATTTTGGCTTTAAGCCACGCACTACTGTTAAATCCAAAAATCTCATTCGGTTGGTTCCAAGCCAAGCAATAGACATTCCTACATACCAGCTGTTGAACTTTGAACAAATTGCCAAATTCAATCAGAAACCCTATCTCCTTTGAATTACCCTAGAACGTCTTATCCCTTACGTTTATCCCATCTGAGCCCAAGTAGTGAACTTTCCAACTTACCTCAAACGGATTCAGCGGCATGCCGTGTTCACTCGCATCGACCAGTTTTTCAATGCTGCGTCCGGTAGTGTACAGGGCCGACCCGCAAGACACCATCACGAACGGTATGGCCAACCCACCAGTAGCAAATATCGTACCAACAGCACTAGCAGCACCGACCATTCCGAACAAAACGTCCATGGTACCCATCATTGCGTTGGTCGTTCCGACCACACTGCAGTCCACTTCTATCTCGTTGTTCGAATCGAAGGTGACGACCCCGTCTTTTGGATAGCACAGAATCGAAGGCGGCAATTTGTTGTGATCCAGAAATTTTTCAAAACTGGAATAGATCCGTCCACTGATATCGACATACGAGCAAGCTCCGCCCTTTTCATGCACTTGTATCAGAAGCGTTTCGGAACTCTTCTCCGTGTTGTCCCGGTTGGCAACCACAATCAGCGGAATGAGCTGGAACCGAAAAGTTTTCATCTGTTTGACCACCTTCTCCAGTTGCTTCCTGGACTCTTCCTTGATGAAGCAAACCTTCCCACTCCAAAGCAAGCTTTCCAACTGATCCGACGGTAAATGGTCAAAGTTAGCAATTGGTTTGTTCAGCACATATCCCAGAATGTTGATAGCCTGAACAGGCGACTGCACCTCGAAAACCTTATGGAAAATGTCAGCCTCCCGAAGGTACTCGGGATCGACGGCATTTCCGCGCAGGAAGAACATCTGCAGTCGTCCCTTCACTTGGTGATAGCATTGTGTAGTCTTGAATGACGCAATTTCTTTCGAGTCGGCACCCATGTTTCAGTTCGTACAGCAATTGCGAAAGGGGATGAAATATTGCAATCGTCTGCAACGAAACGGATGTATTAAAAAAAAATGCCTGCCTACAAGAGATGGCATTATTGCGAAATTCAGCTACTGATTAGATAAAACTTGTACCTACCTTTAATCAACGAAAAACTGGAAAGTAAGAAAATATGACTGCCAATGTTGTTTGATCAATATTCAATACACTAAGCACTAATCGAAAGGTTTATTTAGGTTTGACTACAAGCACCAACATATTTGGGATTAACACCTTGTAGGAGAAAAACGAAAGCAACAATGACGGCTCTAAAGCATTTGAATCAAGTAATGCACTGCAATCTGCGCTAAAAGAATCTTCCAGACGCCTACAAGTCCTACAAACCCTGAGGTGTGCAAGTGTGCATCTACTGCATGCACTGCATGTATGCGATCCAACTGCTGTGTGTAGTTGTTTATTATTTCCTTCTGGCTAACCTAAAAAATGTATGAAATTAGATCTGCCAAAACCGAGTTTGATAGCGATTTGTTATGTATTTTCCTCGGATTTTCACTAACACGCTCTCACATATCGCACCAATGCAATTGACGAGTGCACGGATGGATTTTAGTTCACTCACTCGACAAAAAGTGACACAACAGCGGGGCCCTGTTTACTAAAAATGAACACATATGTGTTCATTTTTAGTAAACAGGGCCCCGCTGTTGTGTCACTTTTTGTCGAGTGAGTGAACTCAAATCCATCCGTGCACTCGTCAATCGGACGTGAAAATCTCTATACAAAGAGAGCTTTAAGAAAGCAGCGTTGCATTGTTTTCATTGTTTTGTTTTGTTCGTTGTATTCGCATCTTCATAATTCTAGAACAAATCTTCAATCCGTCGTAAGTAGCAAACACACACAGCAAAAAAAAAATGTAATATCGATCAACGTAATTCAAGCTGATGTATGAAATAATGATGTAATAGCAAAAACCAGATACAATATTACATCAATGGATGTAATTTTGTTCGCAAAATCGATGTACATCGTACAATGTAATATTACACAACCGACGGAATGATCTCTGTGCAGCTGTTTCGATGTAATATTCAACAACTTTTTTTTCTGTGCATGGTTGGTACACTCAGAAATATTACTACACTGAAACAAAGATAATAGTTAGGAATACTATTTTGCAGAAAACACTTATTTTCAGTATAACTACGCTTAATACCGTTAAATCTACCATGATTTCAGTATAGTTGACTATAAATATAATCAAATTTACTACCATTCTGTCAAAACTACTATGCTGACTCAAACGGTATAGTAGTTTTGATAGAAAAATTAGTCAAACTATATGATTTCGTTTCTGCACAAATCTATTGGTGGGAGTATTTAATTTAAACCATCAATATAGTATTTTTGCAAATGGATTTCGTTTCTGTGTATACAACGAAAGATTAAAATTTAATCATTTTATAATTTCATAAATTTTTATACATTGATTCGATTTAAATTTACTACAACATTATGCTAAGTTATCGTATAACGGCTTTTAATTTCCCGCATAAACGCGAACCATAAATTGACCTTACCTAAAATGGTTAAAAATTGTTTATAATCCCTGCTAAACTTTAACTGAAATGGTTATGGAACTTTACATGAACGTTTAATGATAAAGTTTCAACCTTATGTATTATGGTTTTTTGGAACTGGACCTTACAAATAATGGGTTGTTAAGAACCATTACCATTCCAAATTCTTGTTTTCTCCATACATTTTCAGAAAGAGAACTATATAAGAACGTTTTTACTTATAATTTGAGAACATTAATGGTAATGGTTATGGTAGTCAGTAAGGTCCATTAATGGTTTTGTATTATCGCTCAACTTTACGTGGAATATATCGTGAATTGGTAATCAGTAAATTACAGGCAACCAATTCGCGATATATTCCACATAAAGTTGATCGATGTTACAAAACCATTCGTGGACCTTACTGACTACCATAACCATTACCATTAAAGTTCTCAAACCATAAGTTAAAAGGTTCTAATATAGTTCTCTTTCCGAAAATGTATGGAGAAAACAAGAATTTGGAATGGTAATGGTTCTTAACAACCCATTATTTGTAAGGTCCAGTTCCAAAAAACCATAATACATAAGGTTGAAACTTTATCATTAAACGTTCATGTAAAGTTCCATAACCATTTCAGTTAAAGTTTAGCAGGGATTATAAACAATTTTTAACCATTTTAGGTAAGGTCAATTTATGGTTCGCGTTTATGCGGGTTGTGAATTGTATAACAAGGTAAATATGCATCGATATGCAAATCGATTTGCTTGGGAGCAGTACACAAATAAAAATTCAATGCTAATTTTTGTGTCCCACACATGAATATTTGCAATGTGATAAACAAATTATATGTATATGTCGGTTACATCACACAAAAAACGAAAATTGTATTAGTAAAAATATTGTACTTTCAATTTAAAAGTATTCAAAAATTTGTTATACTAACTATGAAAATATTTAATACACCAAGGTTTTTTTCAAACCAAAAGTAAATGTTTTGATTTTAACTTGTAGTTTTAAGGCTCTGAACCATTTGGTGGATTATTTTTACTTTTGGTTAAAATTTGACAGATGAAAAGTTATCGATTAACCCTGCTATCCGAGCATGGTTATTTCTGACAGACAAGAAGTTAAATTTTGACAACCGTGGCTCGAAAACCGGTCGATCGACAGCACTGGGATTTTCGAACATAGAAAATAACTTTCGAAATGTCACTTTTAACCACGAGTTAAATTTAACTCGGCAAATGGTTCACAGCCTAAAAGTGCAAATTTTCAAATCGAATATAGTTGAACTGTCAAAACACCTACTTCGTGAAGAGATTTCTACTCATTCCTGGGTAGGTTAATAATAACGTGAGTGTAGAAAAGCAGGTGGTGAAAATGGCAAAATTTTCAACTATTTGTTAATAAGAGATTATTATCGCGAAAAGTGTCCCAATCCGGACTTTTATTGCTCGGAAAAAGATGTCCGCATACTTCCGAACTCGTGTAGTATGGAACGAGGTATGGAATCCTTTGTCGAGCAATATAATGCTGTCGAAAAAGTTGAAGCAGAAGGAGGAAACCAATAGGTGAAAGCCATTCGATGTAGCGACTGGGAATTTTGATACAGCCGCTCAGCCCAGTTACTAAGAGGATTCCAGTAGTACCGGGAAAATCATTACTTAGTTGAGCGACATTGCCACCGGCTGGCCACTTACTTGCCCTGAACTGAAAGTGGTGGTACAACCGAGTCTATCTGGAGCAGCCACGAATAGGAACTGATGGCGACCACAGGGAATCATTCGGTTTAATGATTATGGTACGTATGAACAACTTATTTATACTTAAATGACAATATTTGCCCTAATGACTACTTTCTAACTGTTCTTTCATAGTGTTTCCATCCTGATACCTGGTTATTGTCACTGGTTCTTGGCGACTTGGAAGTTTGTGCTCTGGTGCAGGTGATTGAATCGATGCACGATCTCAAACCGGAGTCTTCACCGCTTGTACCTGCGCAATCTGAGTTTGGAGATTCTTAACAGTTTGTTCACAAAAACGAGAAATACTAAATAATAAAGCTCCTTTCGGTTTTTCCTTTCGAATAATAAAAACTTTAAATTTTATATTCAATAGAATTTAAAATAAAAACTTTTATATTTAAATTAAAAATATTTCCTTCATTTGGTAATTAAAATGACACATGTTATTTCAAATAAACCAGACTTTAACCTCAAGATTTGATTTGGAATAAAAAGTTCTTCGCTTTTAATTTCAACACTGCCAAACTTTTCATTTGACAGTAGTACAATTTATTTTGAAATTTTTAACTTTTAAAAGCAATGATCGGGAAACTTTTGATTTGACAGTTGGTTGACTTTCATTTTGAAAGCTAACAGCTTTCTACCAAAAAGAACCAACGCAAACTTTCAATTTCACCAATGGTTTTTTTAATTTTAGCAACGAATTTTTTTTGTGTGAGTTCTTATGTGTACATATAAAATTCATGTGTAATCACCCGAATAGAAATTTACATTAGCCCAACGTTTGATTCTGATGTCTACATCAGCATCGAAATCAAATGTATGCCTGATGTCAAACATTAGAAAACATTATGATTTAGTTGTATTTAAGCAACGTAACATGGTGTATACATCAGAAATTTTGGAACAAAATTTTGCCATTCTAATGTCGGTCTGACGTCAAAAATTTCAATCTATTGACATTAGAACCAAACGTTTTAAGGATGTTTTCGGATGTACAAAACGTTAGAACTAAACGTTGTTCGGATGTTTTTAAATGTAAACGTTTTCTGATGTTTTCTAATGTAGATGTTTCCTGATGTTAGAAACAAACGTTTTTGGATGTTTTCAGATGTAAAAAACGTTAGAACTAAACGTTTTTCGGATGTTTTTATATGTAAATGTATTCTGATGTTTTCTAACGTAGATGCCTCCCGATGCTGGAACCAAACTTTTTTTTTGATGTTTTCGGATGTACACAACGTTAGAACTAAACGTTGTTCGGATGTTTTTAATTGTACTTCGTGTTTGTTGTTCTCTGATGTTTTCAGATGTACAAAACGTTTAAAGTAAACGTTGTTTGAATGTTTTCAAATGTAGATGTTTACTAATGTTTTTAGATATACAAAACACTAGAATCTTACTTTTCAAATGCTTTCAATTATATTTACAACACATTAGAATTAGAAACATGATCGTGTAAACACTACACACCATTGTTGTTAGATAACATAATAAAAATGCGTACATAACTGTCAATGCTGAAGCTCCCGTTTCCCACCAGTCAGTTAACTGACCTTAGCTAACCTAATATCATTGCGGCAACTCTCTATGCGGCAGGGGAACTATGCCATTAGCGCGCTAAGAGTTATTAGACCACTGACATAGGCGCCAATTTGTAGGTGACGAGGCACTTGGTGACATTACAGCGAGCTTGACGATTGTTGCAGCATTTTTTTTAGCAAACTACCAGTTAAGGTGTGTAGTGTTTACAAGATCATGTTTCTAGCTCTAATGCTTTGTACAATTGAAAGCATTGGAAAAGTTAAAACTCATGTTTTGCAACCAAAACCATCAGAAAACATAAAATTGTACAAAAAAAAGTCATCCATTCTGGTAGACTATCTCTTAAATGCATAAAGAATAGCCATTGCTTAAGCTCCCGTTTCCCACCAGTCAGTTAACTGACCTTAGCTAACCTAATATCATTGTGGCAACTCTCTATGCGGCAGGGGAACTATGCCATTAGCGCGCTAAGAGTTGTTAGACCACTGACATAGGCGCCTATTCATGGGT